AGCATATCGGTGTTTGTGGATTTGGAGGCCCAGGGGGGGCTGGGGTGTTTTGGAGCTTACGGTGTCTAACTACTTAGGGTTTAGGGTTTAGGGGTTAGGGTTAGGGTTTAGGGTTCAGGGATTAGGGTTCAGGGTTGGGGTTTAGGGTTCGGACCAACAGAAACCCTAAGGCCCTAAACCCTAAAACCCTAACTCGTGGCTTCCAGCCCCAAGGTATCATATCATATCTCGCCCCGAACAGAGATGAACAAAAGTAGGAAAGCCTGTGGAGGCCCCATAGTAGTTGCTTGTTGGGATTACGAATAGGAACCTAAGAACCCTAAAAATAAGCCACAAAAAGGAACTACCATGGGGCCCATGGGTAAACCCTAAATCGGGACCAGCAGTTCCGGCTCTTGGGCTCGAGGTTGGAGGTTTTGGGATCCCCCCGCCCCTGTGGTTGCAAGACTTCCGGTTTTTTGCCTTGTAACATGTCCATACACATAAAGGAAGAACTTTACAGAACCGGGAATCGCTTCGAATGGGGTTTTTGAGTCGCACGAAATGTTATTTCTTGTGAGCACATGTCCAGTTGTCTATGTACTTTGTCCAAAAGCATAAACCTTGTTGACTCAGAGGCCCGAATGACTAGACTCGAGGTACCGGATTACTATTCCACTCGTGTAAACAGTAGGGAGCCTGCATTGATATCCCAATCGCAGTACCCATTCTCCAAGGCCCTTAAAAACCTAACCCCTAAGCCCTCACTCCCAAACTTCAAAGCCTTCAACCTTAATGTAGCGCCTTGATAATTAGAATCGGGTTTTGCGGTATATTACACTATAATCATTTAATAAGGAACCACCACAATATTATTGGTAATTTAGGCCCTTACATCAACCATCCGCACTTCTGAAGGCACCGTGATCCAGAAGGCTGGCCAGCCAGCAGAGCAGCGCGATGGGCTCCAGTTCTCCTGGTGCCCTGCAGATGGTAAGCTTTTTGTCTAAAGGATCTGATCCAACTGCATTGAGAGTCTTTTTTGGGCTTCGGGATGAGGGTTTCAAGCTTAGTTCTAGGGGTTTAGGGTGCAGCGTCTGGGAAAGAAAGGGCTCATGGTGAGCTTGTCGGGCTGGGGGGTTAGGAGCAGATTTATGGGGTTCAGGGATCAGGGGCCAGTGTGTACAGGGGTTCGGCGCCTTGTAGATGGGAATGTTCAGGATTTACTCCCAAGGTTTACAAGGGTAAACCTAAACCCTAAAAGCCTAAACCGAGTTCCGACTGTAACAATCCAATAGTGTCTGAGGCATGAAGATGCCTGAAGCCTCCGTGTTTTTTTGGGCGTACCTAAGGCTCCATGGACTCATGTAGTATATAGTTAGGCCTCAAAGCGGCTCGTAATATATACATTGCAACCTAAGGTGGTCTAAATATATACTAGATGGGTACGTGGAGCCTTCGGGTTAGGCTGCCGCATCTGATACTGGGATACTTGGAGCACTTGTCCAACACAAGTCGTTAGAAACATTTCGAGCAACGTGTTGGGTACATCAAACCAACGGGAGCGCCGTGACCGACGGATTCAGAACCCGTATAGAACCCGTATGAGCGAATCCAGATCAAGGGGATGCTACCAATTACTTATTGTCGCTGAACGCTTTCTCCGTGGCAGCATGGTATCTACAATCTATGCCCCCGACCCTAAACCCTAAACCCCACGACTATACATATTGCTGGTACAATGCAGAAACGGAAGACAATGCTCCCAACACCTCGGGATGCAAACCTTGGCCGCCGTGCCAGAACCTAAAACCACAAGAACAAGGTGCTACTGTAGGGGCCTTAATGCTTAGAATATGGCTTTGGGGCATATTATGCTACAACTACAATACGGAACCCCCAACATGGCATAGGAAATTATTTAAGCCCCCTATATAACCATTCAAGGTCTGGTTCGAGGTAGATCCTGGAGTGCTCAACCAGATGTGCGTATCTCGGCGGGCAAGGGGGTTTAGGGTTTCGGGTCAACTAGAGGGCCAAAGTAGCAACTCAATCCCCAACTAGCATACTAGAACACCTTTAACACTACTGACAATGACCGCGTCTAGTAAACCTCCGAAATCCTAAGACCATAAACCGCTCGATAAAGTCCAAAATACAGCTACCAGCATAAGCACCGGCCCTAAACAAGTGATACTTATTGCAAGCATTTTCTTGAAAGCAAAACCAAAAACACCTTGTGAAATGGAATCCTGAGAAACTTTACACACCGAGCCTTCATCTTCACGGCCCAGAAGCACAGGCGAGCGCCGCATGGCGTGGGCCGCGAAAGCTCCCAGGATGTGGAAGATCACCGGGACTCGTAGGGTTTAGGGTCGAAGGTGTTTTTGGGGGTTTTAATTCTTTGGGGTTTGAAGGCTGCCATACGGCTTCTATAACGCTGCTTTAAAGGTTTTGTCGGGCGTTCGAAAGTATCCCGTGCCTTATTACGATGTCTGGGCTGGACGCAGGCCCCTCAATTTAAATACATCGGAGAATTATCGGGTTGAGTTCTAAGTGCCTACTCAGTATATACTGTACCATATAGGTAACGTCTGTATTTGGACGCTAACCTTACACAACCTACGTGCATGGTCAGAGGCTTTCGAGCAATACAGGTGGAACATTCGCAGCTGTGCAGTGTCACGCTTGGCCTTAAACTTCAAGCCCTGAATATGGGAACCCCATGGAACGAAATTACACAGCAGAAGTCCCGCACGCATGCTATTTTCTTTGAGCAGAATAACGCGAAACATGTCAGCCGTTGAAGCCTTATAGCACACCCTCATCCCGCAGCTCTCAACCCTAAACCTTCAACACCCCTCTTCCGTGAACTATTGACGTTGAGACCAGGCGGCCACCAGCTCAACGACGTTCTTGTTAAGGTGCTCTTAGGGCTGAGGGTTTAGGTTTGAGGGCTTTAGGGTTTAAGGTATGGTGTTCGACTCTAAACCACATCGCTTCTGAAGAGAATGCTCCACGGCGGCCTGAGAAAAACCATCTCCACTTCGAGCTCACCGTGCCTCAAACTCGCAAAGGATTCGAAATACCTATATAGGGGGGAAACTTTCCGACACAATGATCGTAATTCCTATTCTTCAAACCCTACATTCTATTGCATTGTATAGGTATATTTAAGAAACAATCCTTAACGGAACCCAAAACCCTAAACCCTTAAAGGAACACTATGAGGGGTACACACGACCCTCGATCAGTGCTTGCGCAAGCTCTACACCCGAAAAACCAGGACAAAGTTCAGGGTTTCGGGTCGTGGATCAAGATTATTATGGCCGATTAGGGTATAGGGATTTTGGCCGATTAGGATTTAGGGTTTATGTTTTAGAGCCGAACGGAGTTCAGAGCTTTGGGATTCAACCGAAACACCCTATAATCTATACCAAAAGAAGCTTCACAGCTTTCTTTGGTCGTGCATCAGTGACGGAGGTGCGTACAAAGCACATACGTACTTACCTACCTGCATACCTACCTACCTACCTACCTACCTACCTACCTACCTACCTACCTACCTACCTGCCTGCATACGGAGGTACATCAAATCATCTGTATACGTATATATACATTTTTTATTTCTTTAACTATTTGTTCATTTATTGCAAGTCCACGTGTAGAACACCTGTAAACAAAGACCATGCCGACCTTTCATTCTTAATGCAATCAGTCCGGACAAAATGGAGAGCAAGCTCGCGCGACTCTCTTTTTCCAGCCGCGAGGGCGACACAGTCGGGCAGGTTCGGAAGGAACGTGGTTTGCGTGCGAAGCTGCAATGACACTCAGTGCTGGGGTCAAGCTTTGCATGTGGAAGACAAGACAAACGTGGTGGGGTTAGGCACAATTAAAAACCCACAACCCCCATTGCGGCGGGAGGGCGAGCAAACTTTGAGAGAAGGGTCAAGAACGACCGTCATCTGTTGGCCGACCAACGTGGAAAGGCGTGACACGGCACCTGGGTCACCTCAGCACACACAGCGGTAATTACACAATCGAACGCGAGGACCTCAGCAGCGAGACCTGGACAGTCGGCAGGGCCACAATCCTAGGGAGGGGCCAGGAAAGGCACCAGAGCCGGCTGCAGCAGCATGCCTAAACCCTGTGGGCCCGAAAGGGGCTTGGCATGGCATTTGGGTCACCTCATCGCAGGACACAGTGCCAACATGGAAAGCGCAGATCTCACCAGCGAGGCCGG